ATTTTTCTTTGTAATTTATAGCTTATCTGAATAAACTGGAACTAAAGCCTGCACAAAATATACTGGGGTAAAACCACATTCACAAACTGCAGGAACTTTGTCTACCCAGATTTAACAGTCATGTGAGACAACCCATAGTGGGGACCTGCTGGGGTTCTTTCTGCAATGCATGGATTCATGATTAACTTTCACGTAGTAAAAGCTGAATTGAAGAATAGTAGAAATATCATTTACTTTTAAAAACATCCATCAAATTCAACAGATCTATCTACATTGTGTATTCCTTAGCTATTTGAACAAAATCAGCTAGTGAAAGCAGTTAGTATATTAGAATAGGGTGATCAGCAAAGCATTAGTTAAGCAAAATGACCTTTCTGTTAATTGCACTCTGGTATGTGGCTATATGTATGGAATTCAACTTCATTTATTATTGCATGGGAATGTTCGGCTTGTATCACAGTGTGGTATTTTGCTAGTTCTATATTCTAGTGACATCTCTCTTTCTTAATGCTTAAATAGTAACCTACTGCTTCTTTCCCACTAACAATACAAATGAAAATTCATTCAAATTAAAATAGAAAGAACACTTGAAATCTTTTTTTTTCTGAGAGCCACGCTTTTCTTTTGATGGGCACATCTGATAAAATGTGTTCCACCCACAGCCCCCTGACTTCACTGACAACATGATCCACCACGCTGAAACCTTATTATTTCCTGAAAGGCTGTAGGCAAGCATGATGATGGGAAGGCAAAAAGGGAAGCGAATGTTAAACAGAAAAGGAGAGAAAGAAATTCTTTTTGTATAAGGAAGTCAGAAGAAAATGGTTGTTGAAAAAAAAAAAGGGGCTAGAATTCGATATAAAAAAAGGACAAGTAATATAATATTCATTTCCAAGTGTACACGTCATAGAATACAGAGGATTAATTCCACCCATGTTGGGACTTAAAATTCCCACTAATTTCTGTGTGATACAAAATGAGAAATGAAGATAGATGTCAGTGACGTTACCATCAGTTTAATGTAAATATAATGGAATTTGTATTTCTGAATATAGAGAATATTTTTCACAATTCCTGTTGTGTTCCAAAAATATCCTAGATTAAAAGAAGGGCAAATCAGTAATAAAATGCATGTTTAATTTGCATAGAACATAACTGCTTTTAACATAATTCCACGAGTATTGTGTATCTGTATAAACACACATTGTTTCATCAATTGGTGCTTCTCACTAGTGGGTAAGAAAATGTTATTCAAGAACAATTTCCTGGTGATAATTTTTGCGAGGAAAGCTGATTACATTTGTAATCAAAGGGACATTTGGGACAAGAAAAGCGTCCCAGCAGATGAATAGCAATCCTTTGGAAACCTGTGGCATTGCTGTAACTGACAGGGATGGTTTGATTACCTGCTGCTTGCTTTCTTGTCATCGTAGCTATGGAGTCTGCCTCAGCAGCAGTCTCATCACTTATTTGAGCTGGCACTTATTTTAGTTTTGTCTGGAACTCGCCTTGTATGAAGGATCAGGAAAAAGCTGCACTTAACTTACATTGAACAAGTTCACTTTTTAAGCATTCCTGGAGGAACTGTTCATTCAAGTCTCCCCGGCAGAGTTATTAATTGAAAGAAATAGGCTATTCCGTGAGATTGCATTTATACATTCATGTTTAAACAGATTCAGTTTTGCACAAACTGTTACACTTTGCTCCTGACAGAGCATCAGCTTGTAACAAACAGCTTTGGCCCTGAACGCATGCCTCATTTCAATTCTGTATTTTTATCCCTTCAAGCTCTTTATTATTCCATATTCTCTGTACTGCAAGCAGTTTTGCACAAGTCATTGCCAAATTGGGTCAAGCCATGTGCCTAAGAGAGAGAAAGCAAGCTGATTATTGTTAACAAATATGGTGAATAAAAAAAACAAGAACTTGGGTAACAACATTCATGCGTTCTGGCTCACTGGATGGATTTGGAAGTGGGGGAAATCAGAATACTTTCATGGTATCCAGAATTTTCTTTACCCCAAGCCAGTTCTTAATCACAAAACGAAGTAAACTGATACTGACAAATGACAGCTTCATGATCAGTTTTGTGTAGGAGTCTGCATACTAAACATCCATTGACTTCATGCCAGGCTTTTGTACTGGGATGAAAACTTACCTTTTGTGTTGTAACATTCCCTGTTTTAGAAGTGATTAATTGTTTGTACCTGGTCCATGCCCTAGGGAAATGTTTAGACCCATACTTAACAATTTTGTATTGATCAATGTATCTAAAGCTATTTAAGTTCCCTTCTGGATCAGAACAGCTATTTCATTGAATATATCACTGGATTCAGGACCAAAAGCAAATACAGTGTTGTACACAAAATGTTCAGATATGGTGAGGAAACTTCTACACATCTGTAAAATAGTAATCAATCTGCCGTCTCTGGCCCCAGCCTTCTACAGATACAGTTGGTGACAGTTCTAAAATTCCCCAAACCAGTACTGGAAAAGATGCCAGTCTGACTTAGAAAATCTGAATTTCAGAAGTCATATCTGATCTGTTATGATTGGCTGTTGGAGCTGCTTTATGATAAATGATCTAATTGCTTTGTGCAGAATGAAATGCATAGCAGTTTTTACCAACTAGCAGATAGACAGATGTCTGTTAAAAGGTTTGAAAATTATTTGGTTGTTAAGTTATTATGGCACAACCTACCATGCTAAATAATTACTTATCTTCTTCAGTTAAACTGTAAATTTAACATGTGACATCATCTTCTCTATTCCTAACACTGAAGTAGATGGATAATAATTATTTGGTACAATTACACTGTTATTGTTAGAGCTCATCTTCTGTCACCTCTGTCTCTCTGTGTTTTATATGTAAGACATCTGGTCAATATAGCTCAGTTGCAAACCAAGGATTGTAAGAACTGTTTCAGTTAGTATAATCCCCTAGTCAGAAACAGTAAAACTCTTGTCATCAGAGTGGAGAATTACACAAGGCTGAATGTAGCCTTTGTAGTTGTTGCAGAGTTATGTGGTGGTCTGGGGAGGGATTTTATTTCTTCTTAGTGCAGTTAGTGCACTGAATTAAAATACCTTGAATACTTTTTTATCGTTTAGTATTAAGAGTACATGTAATCACTAGGATACAGACCTATTTTTAGTAGGATTGTGTAGTTGGCCAATAGCAGCTCAGGTAGCTGTTGAGAGTGAGAATTCAATGTGAGAATGACCACACGATCAAGACTGTTGTTAAGTGATAACAGCAGATCTACAGGAAGAGCTGGAAGGTAGCACTAAATGATGCAGGAGGAGAAAACCTTTTATTAAGCTCTACCATTTAAAAGCTGACTGAGATGTATATCGTGCAGCTCCCTCCTGGGAGTGAATCAGTATGACCAGATTCCTGCTCAGTACTCCGAATGTCTACTAAGTTAAGCCTTCTGGATTGCTCTTCAGAAGCACTTAGATTGTGCCCTTGATGATACTCACGGACTTAAGGAGAATTTAGGCCACCAAAAAAAAGTGCTTCACATAAGAGGGTGCTCCAAAAGTAACACCTCCTATTTTATTCTGTTGGCCCATTGTGTCAAGAGATATATGTTGGCAGTAGAGGTTGACCCTTCTGTCCAGTATTCCATTGCATTTTGTTGCTGTGTAAGAAGTGGCAGCAGAGGGGCAGACTGACAGAATGGCGTCTGACATAGAAGTGTGTATGAAACACAGGTGTGTCATTGAATTCCTTCATGTGGAAAAACATCACCCACTGATGTTCATCAGCGCTTACTGAATATTTATGGAGACCAACCAGTGAATGTGAAGTCGTGGTGGTGTGTTACAGCAGTGCCAGCAGTGGTTCACAACCACTGGTGCAGATTTTTAGGAGCGTGGCCTCAAGGCTCTTGTTCATCACTGTCAAAAATGCATTGCTAATGGTGGTGACTATGTTGAAAAAGTGTTTTGCAGCAGAAATTGCTCTGTCAAAACGTGTTACAGTGCTCTGTTGTAGTCCCCAGGGAAATAAGAAAGAGGCATTACTTTTGGAGTGACTTACATATTTATGTGGGTTTTACACAGGTTTTATATGGCAAATCAGGTAATTTAGCATAGGTTTTCGGAGACCTGGACAAGAGCTTTACGTATTTACTCTTATTTACTCTTCACTAGCAAGCTCGAGATTTTCTTTATAATTGATATGAAGACTTAGATTTATGAAAAGATCAAATACTTTTATTAGACATTGTCATTGGAGTGTGCTTATATATGTCAGCGGAGAAGTTCTTTACAGAAAGAGTAGTGAGGTGCTGGAACAGGCTGTCCAGAGAGAATGTGGTGGCTCTGGGCAGCCTGGTCTAGTGGTTGGTGACCCTGCCTGTGGCAGGAGGGTTGAAACTAGATGATCATTGTGGTCCTTTTCAACCCAGGACATTCTATGATTCTATGATTCTCTGTCTCTGAAGGTGTTCAAGACCAGGTTGGGTGGGGCCCTAGGCAACCGGATCTAGTACTGGATCTGGAGGTTGGTAGCCCTACTTGTAGAAGGGGGTTGGAGCTTCATGATCCTTGATGTCCCTTCCAACCCAAGTCGTTCTGCAGTTCTGTGGTTCTATGACTCAGTGACTCAATTTCATTCTTGCAGACTTTCCAAAAGTAGACCCCGTATTGTGTCTGTGCTGCTTCTGTGCAGAAAAGTAAAAAAAAAAATAGATCTGGTAATGTAGATTAGCTGCTTTAAATTGGTAGATTTATTCCAGAAAAGGTTTAAGAATGCAGCTCTGCGTGTGTGTCTGTTGTATGTGTACATGCCCCATTTGGTCTATACATAGGGATTTGGATCTCTCAGCAGTAGTGCTGATGCCTAACTGAGCCTGGTATAACAAGATTAGTACAGTAGTAGTTTCCACAGTAAATTTTAAATTTAAAATCACTGTGATTTTTCCCCTTTTAGTCATTGTTGCATTTACAACCTCTGTTTATACTGACTTGTATTTCTTTCTTTTTCCGCTCAGATGTTGCAAGAGCAATTGAGTTACTGGAGAAACTGCAAGAATCTGGAGAAGTACCAGTACATAAACTACAGTCTCTAAAGAAGGTGCTGCAGAGTGAGTTTTGTACAGCTATCAGAGAGGTATGGAACAGAAATTTTTAGTTAAAATTAAAAAAAAATATTAAAGTATACTGCTGGAGAAGCAGCAGTACCTTATATAAAGGACAATGGATATGAGATGTGTCTGTAGCTATCTACAGAAAGATGAAGTTACTGAAAAGCAGATGCAGAAAAGTTGCATCAGCAAGGCCTCAAGCCTGAGGCAATTAGACTTGATAAGGAGAAAGAGTTTAATTATTACTTTAGCATTCTGCTCATGCTGTTTCAAGGTTTGTGCTAAGTCATACAGCGCATGGGGATGTGCTGAGTTGGGTGAGTGCAAGATTAAATGCCTCTTCTGGAACTCAGGTGTGAGGTACAGTAGAAATGCCACGAGAGACAAGCGATGTAAGCATGGAAGTTAACTGAAGCTAATATGAATCTTGTAGTCGGTGATCAGGTCCCAGTGGGTGTTGCTGCACATATAAGAATTTTTTATCAAATTACTAAGAATTGTGATTGTTACCCAGCAGTGTATGGTCAGGAGCCTTCCCGAGCTCTGCCAAACAGTAGATAAATTATTGTGTTGTTCTAGTCAAGCTAGAGAAGAAGGAGCCACTTTCTCACGTACATACTGGTAGTATTATCTTTAACGTAGTTAAATTATGAATACATCTGTTAGAAGTTTCTTGGACAGACACCATAAATTAATAAAATAATGCATCAGACATCTTACCTACTAAAACTGAATGCTGTTAACCTGCCAGTCTGAAGCAGCTCTAGGTGCTTTAGTGAAAATAACATATTTTCAGCAGAAAATCTGTAAGAAATTCTTTTTACGTTTGTTTATCTATTGGCTAGAACTAATCCTCCCTCACTGAAATCAATGGGAAATCTAATGTTGCTTCAATGGTAGCAGGATTGAACCTCCTGATAACTAGGCAACAGCAGCACATTGATTGAGTGGACTGCTGAGTGTCTGGAAGGAAGAAAGATAACAGTTTAATAAGCAGAATGCAACACACTCTTTGTTTCTTGGAGTATATTCTCCAATGTGAGAAACAGAGGGAGTTTTCCCCTAAGTTAAATGAGGGTTTTCAAAGCTTTTTAAAGGGAATAGTGTTTGATGACAATTGATGACAATAAATAATGGCACTATCTACCCTGTAAGCTGATATTCTGATTAGTCCTTTCGTTTAACACATTAGATGTTTCTTTAATTGACCACAGAGCTTTGAAAAGTTATTTTTCTTCAGATAGCAGAGTCTGGCACTCTGATTGTTATGGGAATTTTCAATCTCTGGAGCATCATCAGTGAAATCTTGTCGAATTTATATCCTTCTCAGGAAAATATTCTTAACAGAAACAGACATAAAGCTTTTTGAAACAGTTATGGAGGCTAGGAAGTAGGAAAATGTTGTAGGCAAATGCACTCTCAGTTCAGTGAACTGAAAGTGGATTTTGACAAAACCATCTAGATGGCACAAAAGGTTTGTAGAGAGTTGTGTAAAGATAGCTTGTACATGCCAGACAGTCTAATTGCTATTAGAGTGTTACAACTAAGTAATAGTCACCTTAATATGCTTGTAACACAAGAATCAATTAATGATGAATAATTAAGTCAGTTCTACCAACTTCATAAAAAAGTATTTATTTCAAAATATTTAATATTACATACTTATAGACCAATATAACTAATTGGTCTAATTGCTATCATATCACCATTAAAGAACAGAATTCTGTAAAAGAAAGAAAATTATTAGTATCATTCATGACTACACATAAAAGTACTTCTGTGAAGAAACATTTTAATATAAAATGTCCAATAATACTCCTTTCATCCAAGGAGAGTAGAGGAATTGACATATATAGATCGGCAATTCTTAAGATTGTTCAGCGTGTGGCTCCTCTTTACAGTTACTTGCATTAAACCTTTGGTGAATGTTTAGATTGTAACACCTTTTTCTTTTTTTTTTTTTTCCTACCAGTTGAAAAGTTGTTGGAAAATGCCAGCAAAGATTTTCTTCTGTTAAAAAAAAAAAAAAAAAGAGTAAAAAAAGCGTGGAATATTCCAGCCATGTTAAATTGTCAGACTCCTCCAAGCACTGTAGTAGGGAGTTGGAGAATATTTATTCTGGGTCTTGCAGTTAATTAGGATTGTCCTTGCATGTCCTTTGTGTACGCTGGAGTTACTGAGAGACAGATAGGCGCTTTACTGAAGAGCACAGTCTTTTTTTGTGCATATTCAAGGTTGAAATAGCTGTTGCTAAACAGAAATTTCCCTGCAGATGCTCCTTCCTGTTGTTTATTTTCTCTAACCCCAAGTACAGTCTGTGAGAGTGTGGAGACTAGCTTTTTATTTCCTCTCTTCACACCTACATAATGGAGAGAAGAGTTACTGACCTTTGAGGGAGAGGCATGACAGTCAGCTGGAAGAAATGTAGAAGGTTGTATGGAGCGATTTTCCTGGAGAAAGCAATGAAGTAGACAGAGTCAGCAGTAGGTAGAATTAATTGAAATGGAGTGAGGAGTAGTGGAAGACTTTGTATTAGTATGCAAATTCAGGAAGAGGCTGCTTATTAAATGTATGCTGAGATTCAGATTTGCAGTGTGATGTGTACATTATGTAATACAAGAGCTGAGCCTAACTTTCTTTCATCAGAAAATCTAATAAAGCAGGTTAAAGCAGGTGTTTGTAATCCTATAAATTCCATAATGGAAGAGCTGTGGAAAATAAATGTTTTCTTTTCCAGTTTAAGAAATTATGAACACTTAACTGTCCAGTGAGTTTCACTGTTAAAGTATATCCCAGAGAAACTTAATGTTGGGCTGAATGCAGGTGAAACGATTGAAGATAATTTTAGTCCACACAGCTTTGATTGACTGTGACTTGTCTTTTCTATAACTAGGAATTATTTGACTTCAGAAGCACTAGGTCACCTTTATGATTAATTAGCCTTTAAAAGTATGGGATACTTTATTAGATGACGTACGTTTCAATCTAGTATGTAGGAACCTATTAAATGGCCATAATGAATTGTATTTATGGGAACATATTTAGTAAATTAAGCGACCAATTCAAATTCTCAAACTAATATTCCACAGAAATAAAATCTTTTTAAAGTGACTGAGTGAATGAATTTAAATAGGAATACTTTGGCATTTTTCTAGAATGCTATGTCAGGAAATGGTGATTAATGGTTCTCAATTAACTAAGTATAAATACCACCAACTGAAATATTCTATCTGGCACTAGGAAGGAATTTGTATTAGCTCTGGAAGTAATGGAAATAACTGAAGTTTGTATTGGCTTCACTATATTCTTTTCGTCTGAAGACCCTAGTTGTACCACTTAGACCAAAAAGCAAGGTAAACCAAAAAAACTGTATTTTGAAAAAAATATATAATTGCATTTTAAAATTACTTGTTTCAAAACCTCATCAGCTGCATGAAAATTAGTTAAGTTTCTATGGCTTTGTCACCTGTCAAAAAATGCATGAATCTTATCCATTATACCAGTAAGCCCTTCCTTCCATGTGTTTTTGCTATTTACTCAAAGCTGTTGCTGTGTTGCATTCTTGTGATTCCTGGGAGATTACTAGAATAGGTGAACTGCAAGGCATGAAAACTGAATGCATAATTGAAATGCTGAGAAGGTATATTCATGTAGAACATAAAACTAGCAACCTGAATTGGTACAGTGATTTGAATTGTTGTAAGGCAGTGAAAAGGAAATTAGGTGAACTTAAACTTCTGGTCTGGTAGTAAACCTTAAAATGGCTGTAGTCACAGAAGTTAGAGTGAACAGTAGAATAAAACACACTAAATACCTTAGGAGATTGTGGGAAATTCACTTACATTTGCATTTGGTAATCAGTACTGAAGTGCCAGGAAAGTGGAGTTACAGCTTGATAAGTTCATAGATCTCCCTATGAGCAGTTTTCTTCCAAGTAGATTATGAAGTTGCTATTTCTGTATCTTCAATAGTAGTATAAAATTCAAGTATATCTGCCTTTCCCATTCTTCACTTTTCTTTTCTTTAGCATCTTAATAATTAAATCTAATGTTTTTCTCTGCAAATGTTATTTAAAATAAATCTGACTAAAATGTACCAGTAGTAAAGCATTTATCATTAAGAGATGTAATCACATCAAATGGTCTTTAGAAAAATGTCATGAGGCAGCCAGAAAGACAAAAACAGGCATTATTTTATTTTGTTGTCATATGACTCCCATCAAAATGTCAGGTCATAGCACAACAGCACTTCTGCAGGACTCAGTCAAGTACAGTCATTTCTATAAACAGAGGAGCAGAATACTGTACTGTTGTCTGTTTTATATTAAAATAGTTTGTGGAAAAGCATGTTGCCTTTGAAGATTGGGAAAAAAGAAAGACCTGAAACTACAGGCCAGTCATTTTCACCTCCATGCTTGGGTCTTGGAGTAGATGCTCCTGCAAAGTATGCTAAGATACATGGAAAACAGAGGGATTGGTGTCAGCCAAAATGGTTTCATTAAGGGCAAATAACGCCTGAGAAATCTGGCCTTCTGTGGAGGGGTAACAGCATTACTGGATAAGGGAAGAGCAACCAATGTCATCTACCTGGAATTGTGCAAAGCATTTGACACTGTCCGCATGACATCCTTGGCTTTCAATGAAGAGATTTGGATTTGATGGATGGACTTGGTAATGGATGAGGAATTGACTGGATGGTTGCAATCAGTTGTAGTGAAAGACCCAATTTCCAGGTGGACATCATTGGCAATACTTGAGATTCAGTATTGTAACTTGCACTGTTTTTGTTGGTAACATGGACAGCAAGACTGAGTACACTCTCAGGTGGTTTGCAGATGATACCAAGCTGTGTGGTGTGGTTGACATGCAGGAGGGAGGGGATGCCACTCAGAGGGACCTGGAGAGGTGAGTGTGCAAACTTCACAAAGCCAAGGCCAGGTAAAAGGTCCTGCACCTGAGTTGAGGCAATCCTGAGCACAACTACAGGATTAGTGGAGAATCCATTGAGAACAGCCCTGAGGAGAAGG